GTTCATTTATGTAGCTCTTGTGCCTCTCTCTGAATTGTTCATCATTCCTGTAATGTTCATTTATGTAGCTCTTTTGCCTCTCTGAATTGCTCATCATTCCTGAAATGTTCATTTATGTAGCTCTTTTGCCTCTCTCTGAATTGCTCATCATTCCTGTAATGTTCATTTGTGTAGCTCTTTTGCCTCTCTCTGAATTGTTCATCATTCCTCTAATGTTAATTTATGTAGCTCTTTTGCCTCTCTCTGAATTGCTCATCATTCCTGTAATGTTCATTTATGTAGTTATTTTGCCTCTCTCTAATTTTGGCAGTATTCCTGTAATTGCTGGTAACCTTTCTCTTTTGTCTCTCTCTGTATTCATCAATATTTTTATACTTGTGTTCCATTGCTTGTTTGTGTTTTTCCCTGTAAATTATATTATTCCAATAGGTGTTCTTCATGCGTTGTTTATGTCTTTGCCTGTATTAGTAACTTTTTTATAGTCATAGACTTTATGTAAAGTCTGTTTTTTCTCATACGCATGTTTCTTGTGAGCCAGGTCTTTGCGCCATTTTATATTATAAGCCTTTCTCTTTAGACTCTTGCTCAGTTTCTTTGACTGCTCATTTAAGTTCGTCTTAGTTGATGTAACTCGGGTAAACATTTTCTCAGGTAGCGGTTGAACTGAATCTTGGACTCGAACATACTGTTGTGAAATATCAGCAGACTGTTGATTGTTGGATAGATCTGCGTTCTCAGCAGAGACAGATGGCTGTCTATTACTTTCAAGCTCATCGTTCGTCACACAATGCTGAGTATGTACACAACTTTCCATTAATGTATGTACGAATGATACAGGCAGCAGATCAAACTGTTCTTGGTCTCCTAAGTCCAAACACGCTTGCAACAATAATAGCAATTTCTCTATCAAATCTTCTAAAGAGAAAAACGTCAGCATTAAAGCCGTACCTGTGTTTTCATCAGTGTACATGCCTTCAATTGTTCTGCAATGTGAATCAAAATAACCAAACCTCCCTGACCGATCTCTAAACACAGCAATACATGTTTGTCCACATAACAGCATCACTCACATCACTTTTGAGACATTGCAGTGTGTTTGCAAGATTTTCATAATCACCTAGTGCAGGTGTATCTCTTAGAAATCCAAACCTCCTAGGATGTTTCAATATGGTATACAACTCTGAGTTTGTCTCAATTGTGCTCGGTAGCTCATCAAAGTTTAAAAAGTTATGCACAAATTGTCCTTTGCTCTGCAGTGTTTGTTTAATTCTAGTGTAAACTGCATCACCTTTCTGTAAAATGTTATCTAAATCACTACTGCTTAGCTCATTACATTCATGATGGACTGCTAGGAACATTAAAGAATTGCAAGTACACTGGCGGCCTCTCGAGTAAATGTTGTACCTAGGATCAGTTTGACAATGCGATGCTCTAACAGACACAACATACGGTTGTGCATCATTCATACCTGACACAGAGTTGGTACTGCTACTGGCACCCGATGCAACTTCAAGCTTTCTGCACTGTTTCTGAGATTCACTCCTCTTTCCTTTTCTTGGCATGGGTGTTGTTTCACCACTGGGAAATAAACGTGGTAAATATATAAATAATGTATTTAATTATATGTTACTGAATATATACTGATAAATTATCTGATACTCAAAGGTAGTGTCTTATTGCTTATGCCAACAAGTTGATGAAGTCGTCAAATCAGTGGTCCTTGAAGACAATGGAAAGAAACCGTGTAGATGAAAGTACATTTACATCTCTCTTTCACTGTTTGTGAAATTGTAACAGTTTTCTTACCTGTGTTTTAAGATTATGATTCAGAGTCAAAGATTTCTCTTTGCAATATCAAGTGTTTTTGATTCAGAGGTGATCAAAGATCAGTATTTGGGTAGCTTTTCTGACCGATTTTCAAAGATGCGTTGGCAAGCGTAGCTTAGATGCATAAAAGGTTAGTAGCAAAGCATTGCAGCAGCATGAGCGTGGCCAGTTGTCAGTTGGAAGAGAAAGAATGGAAAGGAACATAGTCATGAGTTTAAATTAGTAAGCAAGATAAAGGTTTGAATGAAAATATCAAGGTACTGACAGGAAAGGACAGGACAGGTTTGGACAAACACACAGAAAAAAAAATCATGTTAATTACAATGTTCAATACACATTGACTAACATACATTTCAAAACTGTACATTTAACTGGATACTGACAAAATTAAGACATAAAATAATTACTTATTTTGTTCTTTTTACAAGATAAAGTACATTAATTTAAAAAAATACTAACAGCTACAAAAATAACTATACACTATTAACATCAATTGTCATTTAATACATAAGACAATTACTTGCCCAATTGAGGGCGAAACATCTCATAATTCACTCTAAACTAACTTACATATATGATTAATTTCTGTTTACTCAATATTCATTACTTGTCTTCATGCAATGCAAATATCATAAAAAATGAGTAATTACTTTTTTTCACATAATACATTATGTTTACACAATTACTTACATGCACAACCTACGCAACACTGTCCTATAAAAAAACACCCTAAGATTAAGGAAAACTTTTTTTTAGATAGTGACATCCCTCAAATACAAATAAAGCATAATACTAAGCACATTACAATGAAAACAGACAATTCAAGAGATCTATAGCTTATATCTGAACATGAATGTAGTCGGTGTTACCAATGACTTCAGACTCCCAGTATTGAGTTGCAGTGAAAGAACCACACCAAGATGACACAACCTAAAAAATACAAATACATAGTAGATCAATGTTAAAGTAAGCAAACTATAGCATTTCATTTTGTACAGTATACTACTATAGATGCCTATGACAAGTGAACAATTAAACAATGTGACTATTTATCAACAAGTAATTACTTAACAACAAAAAAATACCTACACCATGTGGATAAAAGTACATCTCAATATGGATTCATACAAAAATTACCAAATAAACCATTACTCTCGCCACAACTACATTTACTGAATCCACAATACTTTGTATTAAACCTCAACTGCACGCAAGCAAATAAATAAATAACTACATAAGACTAATTATGACCATTAAATATAATATCCAAAAGCACAAACATATAACACAATATAACAAGTTACACTTGTAATTTTATACTGTATAATTACGTGTTGTACAAATTTGACAATTAAAGCCATTTAGAATACCTTCAAAACACTCTAATTGTACATCTAATCTCACTTCTCTTGTGAACTTTTATATAATTTGTATATAATTTTATATAATTTGTCTGTTTTTGCCTTTTTCTTATCTGTCACTTTTTAATTAGCTAAGAAATCAAATACACTGTCGAACAATAACCAATCATTTATATGCTATGTCAATAATCACTGCATTATTCATATACTTTATTTATTATACGACTTGAAAAATACAAATAGACCATATGTTGTCGCAATCATGCTTTTATTTATTCATCAGTTAAATTTTTTTCTGCTTTCAGCTTTGCTACAGCCATAGCTGGATGCCTATGTCCATATTAGGGATTTCTTGGCACATCATAAGATATTAATTCTATGGGTCTGTTTTGAACTTTCTGCACGAGAGCTCTGTCTACGTTTGGGTATGGCCGTAGCCAAGGTTTGAAAATTAGTGAGGACTGGAGCGGGGTTAAAAATTGTGCTATAATAACCCCACATACAAATCATTATATATACTAAACACTTTAAAAGAGACAGCCATGTAGATGTTTGTGAAAAATGTTTTCTTTGTTTTGGAGGAATGAGAATTGTTAAATTAAATCATTACATGATTACTATAGGTTAGGGGCGTAAAATTGTATCAGTTGTAGTTTCATTAATAACCATTGCTATATACTTTCTCTACTGCTTTTATGAATGTTGTTAGCATGACTTTGTGAAAATTTAACTAGGCCTACAATACTTACTGAAATAGCATGACTTCTTCATGGCTAGTGTTTGCATTCTTTTTTCATTCTGTAACCTACTTGTTCTACAAATCTCTGCACTAGTGTTATATGCTACGGTTTTGATAGCTTTGATAACTTAGAAACTGATAGCCGAATATCATTATTATTATTTATTATTTTTTGCCTTAAAGAATGTGGTATCCTATCAGCAATAATATGTCCGTGGGCTCTTTTGAATACTGTCCGTTTAAGTACCGGTAAACATTGCAGTGTTGCCAAATGCCGCTATGCATTCAAATAAAAACCGCCAAATACAAAAAAAATAAAATAAAATAAAATAAATAAATAAATACATTAGTTCACATTTTTCATTAAAAAAAAAAAAAAATAATATAAAGATATTGTTAATTCTAATCTTAAATGTCCCGCTTTATTTACTTTCTAAAGTGTCAAATTAAGTGTAAAAGACAAGTCCAAAGATGCTTCTAATAACTGGATCTGGCAACACAGAGGCTGCGCCTGCGCCCTCACTCACAACTCTCTCAAGCCTCGTTCACTCCAGCAGCGTCTCGCAGCAACACTGACGCTAAACATTCTTGTAAACGGTCTAAACTTAATTATACATGCAGACACTTATTTGAGGACTGTTAAACAGCACGTTAGTCAATTAATGAACAAATTAGATTTTTCAACATAAAAAAAATTACCGAGGTCCGGACCTCCGTGACCTCAGCTGGCTAAGACTCCATTACAGTATTTAGCACTCTGTATTGTTTACATCACCTTGTTTTGTAAACGAATAAAACGTTGGGTCATGCATAACGTATCTTGTCTCTTTCCATTTAATTCTCGATTTATGAAAACTTATACGTGAATACACTTGGCAAAAAAAAGTGCGACGCACTTTTGCTACGTTTTATTAACAGTGCGCAAAACACAACCCCCTAAGAATCTCATCTATTCTACATCCATGGGCTTGTCGTATCCTGTCAGCAAAAACCTGTCCATGGGCTTTTTTGATTGCTTTCAGTTTAAGAACACCGGCGATGCAGTGTTGCCAGATATTGATACTAAAACAAAAAAAAACAAACAATAAAAATAAACCGAAATTATTTCCAATCTTTTGCAAATTAGATAAGATAAAGATATACCTACTTTTTTCACTTTCTAAAGTGTTAAATTAAGTGGAAAAGACAAGTCCAAAAACGCTTATAATAGCTGGATGCAGGCTGCGCCTGCGCCCTCACTCACAACTCTCTCAAGCCTCGTTCACTCCAGCAGCGTCTCGCAGCAACACTGACGCTAAACATTCTTGTAAACGGTCTAAACTTAATTATACATGCAGACACTTATTTGAGGACTGTTAAACAGCACGTTAGTCAATTAATGAACAAATTAGATTTTTCAACATAAAAAAAATTACCGAGGTCCGGACCTCCGTGACCTCAGCTGGCTAAGACTCCATTACAGTATTTAGCACTCTGTATTGTTTACATCACCTTGTTTTGTAAACGAATAAAACGTTGGGTCATGCATAACGTATCTTGTCTCTTTCCATTTAATTCTCGATTTATGAAAACTTATACGTGAATACACTTGGCAAAAAAAAGTGCGACGCACTTTTGCTACGTTTTATTAACAGTGCGCAAAACACAACCCCCTAAGAATCTCATCTATTCTACATCCATGGGCTTGCTGATAATCGATTATATTTTTGTTTTCTTTTCTTTGACCTCACTAACCTAAATAATATAACGAGCTTATAGTTTTACAAAATAATACATCACAACATTAGCATACTGACATACAATACCTCGCCCTACATACTGTATTCTAAAAACATACACACCGAACAAATATCCTTAATAATGCTTAAAATTACATACAAAACTGATTTTCATTATTACTGAATGCATGTGAACTAATTAGCCTTTTTGTATTATTCCAAAATATGTATTATAATATTTTTGCATGACTCACCGGCGCAAAACTTAGGTCTCCCGTTCGCTGCCTGATCATTCAAATTATATAGCCTACAGTCCTTGACTACCAAATATATATTAATTTATTTTTCCAACTGCTGAAAATAATTACATTGACTAATTTACCATTACGATGGGTGCTCTTCATTATCATTAAATAATTTACCAGCGTTTTTCTTATTTTTAACAAGAAGAAAAAGTTGTGCAAATCTACTAACGCCTTCTTCTCAGGACCCATTAAGTACAGTACAGACGCATTCAGTACAGACACACGTAGAGCAAATCCGTTTCACAGGTAAGTCCGTTATTAAATCACAACATTTATAAGAATTTTGTTAAGTAACAGGGTAATTTTGCATCTTTTTATCCAAAACCATTGAACATTTATACAGATGAATTAACAAACATACCATATTTAACCATATATTCAATAAAATAATACCAGGCGCCATTATCTTTACAGCGCAACATTTTCTCTCGATTCATTTGATTACAAATACATGATGTACACTTTTGTGTGTGTGTGTGTGTGTGTCTTACGTGCACACACACACTGGAAACCCACGTGTATCCAAATAAGTTCATTATTTTTCTGTCAGTTTATATTTTCTTCCCTGCAACTTATGTCGCACACTGTCTTTCACGACATACAATAAAAGTC